GCCTCAGGCATGCAAGGCAAGCGCTCTACCACTGAGCCACCTTCCCAGCCCTGTCCCTCAGCTTTTGTGCTCAAGTCTAGAGCTCTGCCACTTGAGTCAGAGCTCCACTTTTTTGGTTTGTGTGTGTGTGTGTGTGTGTGTGTCTAATTGGAGGTAAGAGTCTAAGAACTTTCCTCCCAGGGATGGTTTCAAACCCCAATCCTCAGATCCCAGCCTTCAGTTAGGATTACAGGCGTGAGCCGCCAGCGTCCTGCTAAGAAAGAAACTTTTTAAAACTCCATATAATTAATTTTGACAACCATACTTGTTACTACTGTCATATTGGCTCTTTAATGAAAAAGTATTACATATCAAGGTAACTCGCACCAAATGTTTCCACACCCAAAAGACTAGTATCATATATGGATCTGTAATAAATACACAGTATCATTCTTTGTACTGTTTTATTATTTTACACAAATATGCCGTGATTTATTGTATATTCTGTATTTGTGTATTTTAACAGTCCTGGTAATCTATAAATTAGTACATTATATTTATTGATCTATGATCCTCTATTGATGAAATCTGTTAGATTCAAGTTAGGGCAGCACACACCATGCTTCCATGAATGCAGTGGTAATATTTCTGTGTACCTGTGGTGCTTCTGAGGCCAGTGCACCAGGAAAACTGTAACATCTTCATCTTTTTTTTTTTTTTGGCCAGTCCTGGGGCTTGAACTCTGGGCCTGGCCACTGTCCCCCAGCTCTTCAGCTCAAGGTGAGTGCTCTACCACTTAAGCCACAGCACCACTTCTGGCTTTTTCTGTTTATGTGTTGCTGAGGAATCAAACCCAGGGCCGTATGCATGCAAGAAAGCACTACCACTGAGCCACCTTCCCAGCCTCATCTTCATCTATTTTTAAATTAACATGTTGTTCTACATCATTTTCATTGGTTTTAATACATCACTTTTTTCTATTCTTACCTTCATATATTTTATTTTTGTGTATAAGATAGATATTAATATTTTTATTTTTTATTTTTTGTCAGTTGTGGGGCTTCAACTCTAGACCTGGGGGCTGTCCCTCAGCTCTTCAGCTCAAGGCTAGCGCTCTACCACTTAAACCACAGCTCTACCACTTAAGCCACAGCGCTGCTTCTGGTTTTCTGAGCGGTTTATTGGAGATAAGAGTCGCAGGGAATTTACTGCCTGGCATGGCTTTGAACTGTGATCCTCAGATCTCAGCCTCCTGAGGAGCTGGGATTACAAGCGTGAGCCACCAGCTCCCAACAGATACTAGTATTTTGTGACCATATAAACCTTCCACTTATTGGGTAGGCTGTCCTTGCCTCTGTCATTTTCATAGCCCTAGCATTCACAAAGTTCCCCTACCTCAATGATAGTCCCTACTTTTTTCCACTGGTTTATTTATACAGTCAATGGCATAGTAAATCACAATAGCTTTTAATAGTCTGTTAGAATGTCTATTAGAGTGTGTATTCCCTACTTGTTTTGTGTTATCAAATTTGTTTCAACATTTGTGTCCTTTACCTTTCCACATAACATTTTAAAATGCTTTCGGAATTCCTTCAACTATAATTAACATGTAAAATATGAGTGGAAGTACATTAAAGTCAAGAGATTTGGAAGGGTACTTACATTTTTACAATATTCTCTTTGCAGCCATAATTTCATTCCTCTTCAATTTGCAGGTGTTCTTTTGTGTCCTTCAACATGTTTTATAACTTTATAAATAAAATTGTCACTCATTGCTGTATTCTTTATAATCAACACATTATCTAATTCTTATGTAAAAGGTTTATTTTATAGTTCTTAATTTCTCCTTTTTTTGCTTATTAATAGATTAGCTAGGAATTCAAAAGTTATGTTGATAGCCAATAGTAGACATTGTCTGTCAGACTTGAATATTGATTTTATCCATAAGTAAGGTGTCCACTGAAGGTTTTTAATGGTCAATTTATTGCTCACCGTGGTGAGAATTGTGTTTGACTTCTTCCTAAGGTTTTCCTATATTCATACCTTTCTGCTCTAGAACTGATCATATAATATGCCATGAAATTCACCTGATTCTCAATGAATATGAATTCTCTGGTGTCTAACCAGGTGTGACTTTTGGCTGAAAGCTTTGCCACACTCAAGACAGTGATAGGGCTTCTCACCTGTATGCTTCCGCATGTGAAGAGTAAGAGATGAGATCTGAGAGAAGGCTTTTCCACATTTGGTGCAGTCAAAGGGTTTCTCACCTGTGTGCCCTCGTATATGTATAGTAAGGGATGAGCTCTGAGAGAAAGCTTTTCCACACTTATTACATTCATACGGCTTCTCACCTGTATGACCTCTCATATGCACAATGAGGGAAGTTCTTTGAGAGAAGGCTTTCCCACACTCATTACAGACATAGGGCTTCTCACCGGTGTGACTTCGCATATGTAAATTAAGCAGTGAGCACTGAGAGAAGGCTTTCCCACACTTATCACATTCATAAGGCTTTTCTCCAGTGTGACTTCTCAAGTGAAGAGTAAGGGATGCAATCTGAGAAAAGGCTTTACCACATTTATTACAGTCATAAGGTTTCTCTCCAGTATGAACTTTCTGGTGTGTAATAAAGTTTTGCTTCTGACTGAAGGCTTTACCACATTCATTACATTCATAGGGTTTTTCTCCAGAATGAATTTTTTCATGAGCAATGAGATTAGATTTCTGACTAAAAGCTTTGCCACATTCTTTACAGATATAGGGTTTTTCTCCAGTATGAATTCTCTGGTGTCTAACGAGATTTGACATCTGAATAAAAGCTTTCCCACACTCATTACATTCATAGGGTTTCTCTCGAGTATGAATTTTCTGGTGGGTAATAAAGTTTTTCTTGTGGCTGAAAGCTTTTCTACACTCTTTACATTCATAGGGCTTCTCACCTGTGTGACTCCTTGTGTGTACAGTAAGGGCAGAGCTTTGAGAAAAGGCTTTGCCACACTCATTGCATTCATAGGGCTTCTCACCCGTGTGGATTCTCACATGTATAATAAGCATGGAAAACTGAGAGAAGGCCTTTCCACATTTATCACATTTATAGGGTTTTTCTCCTGTATGACTTCTCATATGAAGAGCAAGGGAGGCAACTCGAGGAAAGGCTTTGCCACATTCATTACATGCATAAGGCTTCTCCCCAGTATGAACTTTCTGATGTGCGATAAGGCTTTGCTTCTGGCTGAAGGCTTTTCCACATTCGTTACATTCGTAAGGTTTCTCTCCAGTGTGAATCTTTTCATGATCGATGAGATTTGATTTCTGGCTGAAAGATTTCCCACAGTCTCTACATGCATAGGGTTTCTCTCCAGTGTGGATTCTTTGATGTCGAATGAGGTTTGACATTTTAATAAAAATTTTCCCACATTCATTACATTCATAAGTTTGGTCCCTACTATGAACATTAAGATGTTTAATGAGTTTATCCTTGTGGCTAAAGGTTTTCCTACATTTGTTACAGTCATAGGGTTTCTCTCCATTATGAAATCTCAGATGTCTGATGAGGTCTAATCTTTGACTAAAGCCTTTTCCACAATGATCACATTTGAAGGGGGTCGTGTCAAGAGAGGATGAACAATCATCATATGATGTTATAGCTTCATCAAACTCAAAATGTTCCTTTTTCATAAGGTATTTCACATTATTATGAGAGTCAAAATTATGTTCTAAACACTTCCCAAATGAGTCATATTCATATACATCATTTCTGGAAGGAATAAAATCTGAGCTTAGAGGAAATATACCTTCAAATTTATGACATTCATTGACTTTTTCTTCAGTCAGTGTTTTCTTAAAAACTTCTCTCAATAGTCTGTCCTGGATTTTTTGATGTTCATTAGTGTTCCATATTACTCCTAAAATAGGTGCAAATACATACTCTTTGTGAATTTTTTCAAATATCAAGAAAATTTAAAGAAAGATGTTTAATGGCATTGATGTTTAAGTTTAATTATTCATCTCCTATTCCTAAACAAATTACAAGTACAAAGTTTTGAGAAAGAAGATCTAGGAAAGGAAATGTGATTAGAAGCAGATACCTATGAATACAAATGACTGTTTTAAAATAGAAAGTGAAAGAAAACTATTAAGAAATAAAAAGGAGGACTGGGAAGGTAGCTTAGTGGTAGAGTGCTTGCCTTGCATGCATGAGGCCCTGGGTTCAATTCCTTAGCACCACATAAGCAGAAAAAGCTGGAAGTGACGCTGTGGCTCAAATGGTAGAATGCTAGCCTTGAGCTTAAGAGCTGAGGGACAGTGCCCAGGTCCTGAGTTCAGGCCCCATGACCAGCAAAAAAAAAAAAAAGAAATGTACTCATTATCTTGCCCATGTAATTGTAACCCCTCTGTATGGTATTTTCACAATAAAACTAAATAAGTAAATAAATAAGTTAAAAAAAAAAAGAAATAAAAAGGAGATACAGAACATATAAGTAAGGAAGAAACAATGTTATTCAAAACAAAACAAAAAACCCAGAAGGGCTAGGAAGGTGGCTCAGGGGTAGAGTGCTTGCCTTGTATGCTTGAGGCCCTGGGTTCAATTCCTCAGCACCACATGAGCAGAAAAAGCCAGAAGTAGCACTGTGGCTCAAGTGGTAAAGCGCTAGCCTTGGGCTGAAGAGCTGAGGGAGAGCACTCAGGCCAAGTTCAGGCCCCACGACTGACAAAAAAAAAAAAACAAAAAAACAGAAGCCAGGCACCGGTGGCTCATGCCCTATAATCCTAGCTACTCAGGAGACTGAGATCTGAGGATTAAGGTTAAAAGGCCAGCCAAGGCCGGAAAGTCTGTGAGATTCTTATCTTCAATTAACCATCAGAAAAGCAGAAGTGGTGCTGTGGCTCAAGTGGTAGAGTATTCACCTTGAGCTGAGGAGTTCTGGGACAGTGCCCAGGCCCAGAGTTCAAGCCCCATGACCGACAAACATACATACATACATAAAATATCCTTGAATAAACTTTTCCAGGAAAATAAAAGTATGTTCCACTAGGGGCTGGGAAGGTGGCTCAGTGGTAGAGTGCTTGCCTTGCATGCCTGAGGCCCTGGGTTCGATTCTTCAGCACCACATAAGCAGAAAAAAAAAGCTGGAAGTGGCGCTGTGGCTCAAGTGGTAGAGCACTAGCCTTGAGCTGAAGAGCTGAGGGACAGCGCCCAGGCCCAGAGTTCAGGCCCCACGACCGGAACCCCCCCCCAAAAAAGTATGTTCCACTAGTAGAAGGTTCATTATTATAAAGAAAGACAATAATAGATGGATAATGAAAATTCAAATATAGCTCTTAAGTACTTGAAAGATGCTGAGGGTTTAGGTATACTTCAGTAGAAGAGCACTTGCTAGCATGTTTAAATGTTTTTTTTTGTTTTTTTGTTTGTTTTGTCGGTCGTGGTGCTTGAACTCTGGGCCTAGGCGCTGTCCCTCAGCTCTTCAGCTCAAGATGAGCACTCTACCGCTTTAGCCACAGCGCCACTTCCAGTTTTCTAGTGGTTTATTTGAGATAAGAGTCTCACAGTCTTTCCTGCCAGGGCTGGCTTTGAACCTTGATCTTCAGATTACAGCCTCCAGAGTAGCTAGGATTACAGGTGTGAGCCACCAGTGCCTGGCTAAATGTTTTTTGTTTTTTGCGGGTCTTGGGTCCTGAGCTCTAGGTTTAGGCGTTGTCCCTCAGCATTCCAGCTCAAGGCTAGCACTCTACCACTAGAGCCACAGCGCCAGTTCCAGCTTTTTCTGCTTATGTGGTGCTGAGGAATCGAACCCAGGGCCTCATGCATGCAAGGCAAGCACTTTACCACTGAGCCACCTTCCCAGCCCTGTTTAAATAATCAAACCCCATTACCTTGTATAGGTAATACATGCTAATTCAAAACAGTGAAACAACGTCTATTTTCTATGGAAAAAAGTCATCCAGTAGGACCTCATAGTTATTTAACTTGAATAAAAAAACAACTCAAATACTATTACAGTAGTTCAAAGGAAAATAGAGTCCACAAGTAATATAAGTAAAATCGGGAATAAGTATTATAACCATTCCTACTTATATGCTATTAATGTGACTAAACAAGACAGAGATAGAAAATCTTGGAAGAGTGAAAGGAGTTTCTATAAAGCAAGCTAGGCCTTCCAGCCTTTTATCACTCAAATGTTTGTTGACATACAAGGACAGGAGCTGGCATGCATGAGGCCCTGAGTTCAATTCCTCAATACCACATAAACCAGAAATGGTGCTGCGGCTCAAGTGGTAGAGTACTAGCCTTGGGCAAAAGAATTTCAGGGACAGTGTCTGGACCCTGAGTTCAAGTCCCAGAACTGGCAAAAAAAAAAAAAAAGGACAGTAGTTTCTATTGAAGTATGAGAGCAAAAGCTAAATAAACATATAGTGAAAAATGAGATATTAGGTGAAGGCTCTTAGAAAGGAAGATGAAAAAGAAGAAGGTAAAGGACTACATATGTCAACACATTAATTTGAAAACTTCAAATCTGTGACTATATATACAAAAGGAAAAGATCCTATGGAAAAATGTACAGGGAATTCGAAGATACTAATAATGATTAGGACAATACTGGAATAAGGTTGGAAATTAATTAGGAAAGGAAGATGCCTAATACTTAACCAGTTCTGAGGAAAGAATTTAAAATATTATTTAAAATATGACATTTCAGAGCCAGGAGCTGGTGGCTCATGCCTGTAATTCTACCTCCTCCTGAGGATCACAGTTTAAAGCCAGCATGTGCAAGAAAGTCTGTGAGACCCTTATTTCCAGTTAACTACCAGAAAACCAGAAGTAGTGCTGTGGCTCAAAGTGATAGAGTGCTGGGGCTGGGAAGGTGGCTCAGTAGTAGAGCGCTTGCCTTGCATGCCTGAGGCCCTGGGTTAGATTCCTCAGCACCACATATGCAAAAGGAAAAAAGCCGGAAGTGGCGCTGTGGCTCAAGTGGTAGAGTGCTAGCCTTGAGCTGAAGAGCTGAGGGACAGTGTCCAGGCTCAGAATTCAGGCCCCACAACCGGACCCCCCCCAAAAAAAAAATCAAAGTGAAAGAGTGCTAGCCTTGAATGAAAAAGCTCAGGGACAGTGCCCAGGTCCTAAGTTCAAGCCCCATTTAAAAAAAAAAAAAAAAGAGCCTGTGGCTCACACCTGTAATCCATCCTAGCTAATCAGGAGGCTGAGATATGAGGATGTTGATCCAAAGCCAGCTTTGGCATGAAATTTCACGAGACACTTATCTCTAACAAACTCTTCAAAAGAGAGCTGGAGGTGGGACTGTAGCTCTTGCCTTAAGCAAAAGAAGCTCAGAGACAGGGCCCAGGATTTGAGTTCAAGCCCCCCAAACCAGCAAATAAATAAATAAGATCTCAGCTTTACAAAAAATCTACACTTTTTGTTACAAAAGTAAACAGTGCTTGAGGGAAAGAACATCGCAGTTCCACTTTGTGTAACCTTTACTAGTATTGGGTTGCCTCATCACATGTCTGCTTCCCTCACACTCACCTGGGCAGTGTCTCCTTAGCACTTCATCCTCTACCACCCATGGTTCTTCTTCTTGTTCCAACTTGAAAATCACATCAGGTTTGGCAACTGGATAACCTGTCAATAGGAAATAACAAATTTGGGTAACCAAGTCAGGAACAAAAAATGGAGAAAATGAGGTTGGGCCCAGGAACACCAGGCTTTCTGAAGGATAAGAAAATGTGTCTTCTGGAAATGCTATATCCTGGAGCCCAGCCATGCTGGAGAGCTACAGACTGGATAGGTGTTTGGGGAGGGGGAAAGGAAACTCAAAGCTAAACTTACCTTAACATTCAAAGGTCCATATGTTTCAGAAAACATTGGGGGAGGGGGATGGGTAATTTATTCTAACTTACAGAAGAAATAACTCTTACCTACTGTGATTAAGTTGTTATAGTTTTCTAGCATTACATTCCGGTAAAGGTCTCTCTGTGCAGGGTCCAACTGTTTCCACTCTTCCTGGGTGAAGTCAATAGCCACATCTCTGAATGTCACTGTTGCCTGTAATAACACATTACTGCTCAATCTGAAGTCATCATCTTTTATCATGTGGACAAAACATATTCAACCTTGTTCAGCTATTACTCAGAAATGGAATTTTATTATTTTAAAACACTGCCTGTTATTAGCACATACTTTTAATTACTACAATGGGGTAAAAAAAATGCCTGTAATCCCAGCTACTTGGGAGTTGGAGACCAGGAAGATTGCAGTTCAAGGCCAGTGTGGGAACAAAAGTTAGCAAACTCTCATTTTGAGATCTCATTTTAATCAATAAGCCAGACATTGTGGTACAGTCCTTTGATCCCAACTACTAGGAAGTGTAGATTGGACGACTGAGGTCTGAGGGCATCCCAGACAAAAAATATGAGACTGTCTATCCTTCGGTTACAACTCAGAAAGGGCTAGCGGTAGAACATTTACCTAACAAACAACTGTGAGCCCTGGAGTTCAAACTCTAGTATAAAGAAAGAAAGGAGAGACAGAGACAGAGAAAGGGAAGGGGGAGGGAGAAAGGCAGGGAAAGAAAAAAAAATATTGATTCCTTTTTTTGTTGTTGGTGTGGGACTTGCACTGTGTCTGGGCACTATCCTTGAGCTAGGATTATAGGTGTGTGCCACCAGTACCTGGTAAGATTTATTTATTTTTTTTGCCAGTCGTGGGGCTTGAACTGTGGGCCTGGGAGCTGTCCCTCAGTTCTTCAGCTCAAGCTAGCACTCTACCACTTGAGTTACAGCACCACTTTTGGTTTTTTTTTTTT